AAAGAGGACATCTACTTGTTAGTTGTAAGTCTCCTATGGTCTGGGGTTTGATTCCCCCCGAGTGTAAGGTGTGATACTCGAACTATTTGGCAGATGAGGGTGGTCGGTCTTGTATCATTGCCTCCGGCCATTTAAATCAAAATATAACAAAATAAAATAAAGATAAAAAATGAAAAACAGAAGACAAAAATGATCTCAAACGTCCCATTAGTTGCGCTAGGTAAGCATAAACATATAGTTTATTAATCTTTTGGCATTTTGCTGCCTCTCTATGTAGGTTCAAAAGCGTGGATCTGTTGGAAGATCAATTGATGTCTCTCGTTATCATGGTTACGAAGAACTCCGCCATGACCTTGCATGCATGTTCGGAATTGTAGAACTTGAAGATCCCATCGGAACTGACTGGAAACTAGTATATGTGGATCATGAGAATGACATACTGTTGGTTGGGGATGACCCTTGGGAGTATGCATATTCCTCACAATACTGAGCAATTTTAAACAAATTCATACTTCTCATGCTTTATATCACTTATATAAGCTAATGCAGGGAATTTGTGAACTGTGTTCAAAGCATCAGAATACTGTCATCATTGGAGGTTCAACAAATGAGCTTAGCTGGTGATTTACCAAATGTGGCCTTTCAGAGGCAAGCATGGAGATGAAATGATGAGGATTACTGGTAATTTACGTAGGTGATTTACCAAATGTGCCGTTTACTTCTGGAAGGCTACAAGTTTGAAAGAGCTATTAGCCGCATGGAAAAAGTAAATGTCAAGTATATTTCAAGCCCTTTTTTTTGTAATTTTTTTCAAAAACAAGTTTAGCTTTTTTTTGTAAATAATAGCAGATCCCTTTTTTTTGTAATTTTTTTCAAGAACAAGTTTAGCTTTTTTTTGTAAATAATAGCAGATAGAAATGCGATTTACAACTTCATGGCGTTACTTGTACTTCTCAAACTATTCATTTCCGCGTGCTCCGCGAAGCAATAAAGTCATTGCTCCACCACTCGCAACCTTAGCAGAAAAAACTATTTTATTTTTATCTACTGAATTAAAAATCACGAATTGAAGAACTATAAAGTCAGAAATTGTAAAGAAATTATTACATTTATCTGCAATCATATCAATGGAATTGAGGAAATACTTGTGTATTTGAAGACTATTTTGTTATCATTCAATTTATTCAATAGAAATTGTTTTCATAATGGCTTTTTCATTACATTAACGCTCATGTTTCTAAGAATTAGGTGGTAAAAAATTATCCGGAGATGTCAACTCAACTCAAATTTGATTTGAAAATTTTGGGTTCAGGTTTTTGACTGGTTTAGGAATCTTAATTAGTTTATTTTTTTGGGTTGGGTTTGAGTTACCCACCAACTTGAAATTTACCTGAATTTGACCCAATAACCCAAAATTTGTTCAAAATTGACCTACCAATTTGAAGTTAACATGATATCAAATTGAATTTGACCGAATTGTATTTGTGCATTAGTTAAATGGGTTTTATGGGTCGGGTTCAGGTTGGCTGGTTAAATGCAGGTCGGGTTCGGGTTGGACATTCTAACTTGTTTAATATTCAAGTAAGATTTGGGTTGAGCAGTTTCAATTTCGGGTCAGACCCAAACCTAATTCGTGAATCCGATATGACCCCTAGAGAATCATAACTGATTATTGCACATGTTTATGAGAAAACACAACTTAGAGAGAAACACCCACCTCAAATATTTGTGCTATTGTCATCATATAAACTTCTTAATGTGAGCATATAATCTTTTGATTGGAGTATGCATGAAGAAGTCTAAATTTGATTATAGTGGCTAGGTAGTGGCCGCTAGTGATCAGAGATTGAAAAGAAACATCTCAAAAATAATAAAAAAATCTATTCCACTCTTTAAGATTAGCCATTATTTCCCTAGTTAGCCTTATAAACCAATTATTTTATTTCCAATTTTAGCTTTATTTTTCTGCCTGTTTCTTCCTTTGCTTGCAACCTGGTGATTTTTTTACAACAGTGATTCCATATAAATAATTAATATAGAAAGTATTTAATTAAAAAACTTAACAGTATTTTATGACTTAAATGTTCGCTTCTCTTTATTTTATGGCCAACATGTAGTACAGGTCAAAGAAGATCAAAGGTGCACAAAGATAGTCTATAAAAAGTATTTTTTACTGTGTTAAGGTTATATATATATATAT